GTTATCTTTCCTCTCACCATTTATCAAGGAACCTGCTTGATCTAGAAATGGGTAGAAGATCAGTGTTGTCATGAGAACGTAAAGCCTACCCCTGAATCAACCTGTGAATGTGGCTAAACATCAACAAATCATAGTGTTCTTATAAAAGCTACTAACTTACTGCTAACTGTGAAAGATAATTAAGACATGTAAGTCAATGGTCAGTTACCTCATAAAGGATCAAATTCTTCTATGTGTTCAAAACGATACTTGTAGTCATGCTAAGTATTTATGCAATAAATTACAGAAATTTCAGTGTATCCTGGCAACTACAACTATATTGATCCTGGTAACTGTCACTATATTCTGATTCTGTTAAAGGTATAAAACATCTGATTGATCTCAACATAATTGTCATAGGCTCAGTGGTGCTGTGGTTCCCCCAACCAGTCTGATTTCATTCCTCATGGCTGTATCAGGTGATCTTGGCCCAGTAAGTAAGCTTGGGTACTTACAGCGGGTAAGTCTCTTGTCATTTTCATTGACGCTTAGGCCTTTTGGATTACACTTCCTGCTCTAATTTATCCTTCTCAGATCTCTGATAACATCAGGCTAGGCTAACTGCAGCTTGGTCCGTTTAACAGCGGCAGACAACCAGCTCCTTTCCCCTAGGCTGCACCCACCTCCTTTACATTTCATATGTAAAGCAGATCAGGCCTTGCCTTTTCCAGAGCTACTAGTTCGCCTTCTGAGAAAAGCAGGTGGGTTTGCCTTGCTGACAGGCTTCACATTAGAGAGCAACCAGGTTTCAGATGTAACTTTTTGCTGTTCCTTTAGTTAAAAGAACTTGCTTTGTAATGATGGCTCTTAGTAATAACTACTCGTGCATACGCTAAATGGTTAGATAGGAAGAGAAAGGTGTTAACCCATACAAGATCTGAAGGTCTAAGAGAGCGTTTGAAGGTGTACACAGCTCTGCAGATATAAAAGTTTCCTTAAGTTCTGAGGGAATACGATGATTCACGATGATTCACGATATCTGAACAATGGGAAAGGTTTCAGGTTTCTCCCCCCCCCCCCGCCCCGCCCCACGCTATTGTTATACTGAGATTTCTTACAGATACCTGTCAGTTGCGTTTTTGACAATGTGGAGTTTTTACTACAGATTGCAAACAGTGGTAATGCTAATTTATTTAAAACTTTTATCTCTTTTTGTAAACTAAAACCTTCATGAAGGCTTCAGGGAACTGAGGGAGTCATAAGACTCGAATCCACCTCTCACAGATTAAATGGACTGCAGGTCAGTACAGCCTTAGTGTCATCCCCCCCCCCCCCCTTTTACTGAGGATGTGATCTCTCTCCTGGTCTTGGGACTCTTCCCCTCCTACAACCGCCAGGGCTATGGGCCTGAAAGTTTCAAATGTAAGGTTTGCCTTTAAGTTCCTACACTTTACCTTCTGTCCCTAGTCTGTATCTGTCTCAGCAGTTTTCCACTTGGCTGACAGACACATCCAAAAGTCAACTGTGGACTATAGACAAATGGCTGTGAGCTCTGGACTTGCCAAAAGCTGATTTGAACCAGTCCAGCCAATGTGATTGCTCTCTGTCCCTCCAGCTGGGACAGCTAACCAGACGCTTCTGATGAATGCCCCATTGCCTAAATCCCCTCCTGGCCTTTGACCAGCATTCCAGTCTTCCTGGACCCTGCTAATGATGCCCTAGTTTCAGCAGGAAGTAGTTATAGAAGAGAGTTTGTCACTCCCTAATCCCCAACAAGCTGGGATAGTAGATCTAAAGGGTACTCCCTGCCGTAAGGGACAAAACACCTAACTATCTTGCCTATTGGCATACCAGGAAAGGTACCTGTTAAAACCAAACAGGCCCTGATCTATCAACAGGTAGATTCATTAGCTGAAGTAGTTGTTCCACAATAGGATGGGGCACATTCATTAGCTGAAGTAGTTCCACAATAGGATGGGGCACTTGGCCTTAATTAGATGTATAAATTCTTGGCTGGGTGCCATTAAGTTGATGGCTATGAGGATAAACCCACTACAGAGTCAAGGATTTGACTCAGGATGCAACTCAAGAGGGGAACGTGAGAGCAAAACAGGAACGACACACCTTGCAGCTTAAGGTTTCTGTTTGCAGTGAAGACAGTTGAGACTAAGTTCCTGTTTGTCCCGTGTGAAGTCTTTGCAAGCTAAGGTTTCTATCGGCAATTAAGAACAAGTTTCTGTTTCTGAGATCTGTTGTAAACTGCAAAACGTGTTTTTCAACCTACACTAAACTCGGGATCCCATTCACATGATGCATATCCTGACCCTTGTTCCTTCTTTTTCATTGTATTTCTCTAACAGCGTACAACAGCCAACCTTCTTGCCTTTCTGAACCTCATCTCTCCTATGCAAAGGACCTCAAGAGGCTAGCAGGGGCTGCTCAGGCGCTGACTAAGGGTGAGACAGCTGCAGGCCAGTTCCGGATGCACCAGAGTACAGCTTGTTTTAATTGGGAAATCGTGGATTTTATCTTTTCTCTTCATCATTCTCAGCGTTAGCAGGTAGACATGGGATGAGAAGATACACTTGATGGAACTTGTGAATGTCGGGGCTGAGTGACAACAGCTGGCTACTGTCTGGCCACCAGTGCTGTTTATACTGCCTTCGATTACTAACCTCCAAGCTGCTGCAACACTTTGAGATGATCCTTTCTATTTTCCTGCTACTGTTTAGCTTCACTGAATTGCAACAACAACTAAATTAAAAAACAAAACAAAACAAAAAAAAACCCACTGCCTTTAATCCCGAAACATGAAGGGAGGGCAGAGGTAGGTGGATCTCTGTGAGTTCGAGGCCAGCCTGGTCTACAGAGAGAGTTCCAGGACAGCCAGAGATGTTACAAAGAGAAACAATGTCTTGAAAAACAAAACAAAAAAACAAAAAACCCACACACAGTACAATCATCAAAGAAATAGGCACAATTGCCCACAGGTGAGCACTGATTAAACTCCTTTTGTATGCAGCTTTATTAACAGTGATGAGGTTACAAATCACACCATACACAGTTTTCTTTGCTGTTCTTTATAGAAAACCAGAAGGGCTTAAGCCAACAAGATTTCTGCCAAAATTTGATGGATTAACAATAACAAACATTTTTAGGAGTGTCCAAGATAAATATTTTGTATCAAACTCTCTGGGAGGGAATGCTAACTGCTATGCTATAGGGTAAATTGCTACTCCTTTTGCTCTAGTAATTCACAATGGAAAGTACTGGGATAATTTTTATTGATATGAAAAGAATTCTTTTTATTGCTGCCTTGTGCCAAGAACACAGTCGTCAATGTTGGGGCAGGGAGGAGTCCCGCACTCATTCTGAGTTGACAAAGGTTCATTCTGTTATAACTAAAGGAAAATAAAGGCCATGAATTGACTTAAGGCCATTTACTTAGGAATTTAGTTGAGTTCTGAAGACACTTGGCCAGGTTAATGGGGGTCGAGTGGGAAGACCTACTTCCTATTTCCACCTAACTTCTATTTACATACATGTTGTAAGGCACATATCATATAATTATCATCCTGTCTTAAAGCATAGAACCTTTCAGGAGTCACTTCCTTATTACCTCAGCTAGATGCTTCCTCAATCCCCACCATCCACTCATTCTAGAGAACCACGTTAAACTGCCCATCATGGACCTTCTATTTGTGACCACCTTTGCAGCAGGAAGTGAAAATAAAATGCACCCAGCGTGCTGAAATTAACTCGTGACTTAGAGACTACAGCTTGGCCCTGGAGCCCTGAGAAGATGGACACACTCTTAAGATCTGGCTTCCTGGAGGCGTTCTTATCAGGTCTCTGGCCCATTTAGAGAAAGGCAGCTTGAGTGTGATTGCTTTGGTTGCTGGGTAACATGCTATTTTCTGATAAGCTGAGCATTAATTTAATCAGAGAACTCAGGCATTTAAAAAAAAATCACAGGCCATTTATTTTCTTCTAGTAAACTAAACAGAAGTTCATATTTGGGACCTAACTTGGGGCTGTAACTGGACAGAGGTAAGCACAAACCACAACAAAACGACGTCAAGTTTGCACTTGACTGCATTTCTCAGGAGCAGCAACTTTGAGACGAGTTAAAGACTCTGAAGACGACACAGAACACTTAGCATATGTTCGAGTCTTTAAGGGCAGCACAGGACATTCAGGTTCCCGGATGTCCACCGATCTTCATGGACCATACTCCATCAGCCTCAGTGCACCCAGGGCCTGGTAAACCTGTATATATGTTTTCTGAGTCTTCAGATTAACAGCACAGAGAAGTTAAACAGTGATTGCAATTTACCCAGCTGTACCAGGCCTGCAGTTTAGCTCTAGAAAGCAACTTCCTGGGTTTTACAGCCTACTGTACCA